AAACTATTTTGTGCAACTTTTTTGTATTTACAGTTTTGAGGGATAAGCCTCTTAAATTTCTCTAACGAGAAATATATGTTTAAAAAAAAAAAAACGATTTTCAATTTTTTGGTAGTTTATTGCACTTTTTTGAAATTTATGTAATTACTATGCACTTAATGCATACATATTGGGCTATAATGGTTGTATTGATGTATATCAGCTTGAAATGCTCCCAAAAATGGCACTACAACATGTAAAAATATAATATAAGCTCTGGCGGACTTGGGTTCTATGGTAGGTCTTAAAGAGTTAAGTAACTTTAAGAAAAAAAACTTGTGTTTATTGTCCCAATGTATTGCAAACCCCACGAGTCACTCTTCCCAAAGAAATACCGCTTGGTAGATGTTTTATCATTTCCAAACTGTTCTATGTAAACCCTGGAAAAGGTTGTCTCGAAATCTCAGCCGTTTCTGAAATAGCCAGACCAGACCTATAACCATGCTGCATTCAGAGCAACTTTGCATGTTCATCTAGCCAAAAACAGAAAAAATAATGAAAATGTTATTGCAGAATAAGTAAATGAAAAAAAGCTTATTTTATTTTGTGTAAACTGTAAGTCAATATTATTAATTATATAAAACTAAACGTTACAACATTTTAAATAACAAAGTTAAAGTTAGCCAGTTATGCTATAAAGAAGAAACTGTGATGTTACATTAAGCTGACTGACTTAAAGTTTTAATTTAGCTATCATTTTAACCTTTGATGTTGTATTAAATTGTGTTTCTATATATACACCATACATATACATGTCATCTATTTGTAATAACGGAACATAAATTATTATTTTAAATCTTACAGTTATTTTAGCTGTTTATTTAACAAAGTTTTACTTCTTTTATTTGTCTCTGTCTTTATCTCTTTTTTTTGTTTTGTTTTTATCATTTTCACCTATTTATCTGCTATTTCACTAATAGTTTGCCGTTACATTTACTGTAGCTCATTGTCTAAACTTTTTTTCCCTTCCTGGTTCCATGTGCGACTCATTCTTTTTCAATGATTGACCTTAATGAAGCAGACAGGTGTGCCAGGCACTCTCACGACATGTGATGAATAGAGGCGACAGGAGAGGCCTAATAACAAGTAGGCTGCCGACAGT